GAAAGTTTCCAACCAGTACCTCTTTGAGCAGTTTTTCTGCCTGTTTCTTTCTCCTCCCTTATAGAACTCTCATTATGAGTTAGTGTACTGAAAGGTGTCACACATTTCTCTAGCAGTCCTAATCATTTTCCTCCAGTTTTTTTCTCTGATCTTTGGACTACATATTCTCTAGCAATCTATCTTCAGGTACACTGATTCTGTAGTCTGCAAGTTGCTCCTCTGATAATTTTTTTTTATTTTGGTCTTTAGACTTTCAACTCCAGAATTTCCATTTACTTCAAACACACACACACACACACACACACACACACACACACACACACACACTCATTTTTGTTATGTGTATGTAAATTTCTGTCAGTTATATCCCTTTATCGGTATTCCCTATTGGATGTGATGTTTTCTTCTTCTTTACCTCTTTAAATCTGGTTCCCATTTTTCTCTGAATGTATTTATAATTGATACTTCAACAGCTTAACACTCAAACATGACATCTGGTCCCTTTCACAGGAAGCTTTTTCTCTTTTCCCCCTCCTGTGTATGAGTCACACTTCCTGATTCTTTACATGTATTATAACTTTTTGTTCAAAAATGATCACTTAAGACAATTCTGGATACATATGCTTTTTCTCTATCTGAAATCTGTTTTTCTTGTTGCTTGGTTTACTGTGTGTGTGACCTGAGTAGTCTATTTTAGTAAGCTCTATTGCCCCCACAGGGTGAAGGGTACAATGGTATCCTTTACTAGCTGAATATAGTATAGAGCCTCCTTCCATAGGACTGGGTGAGAATGAGAGGTCCTAATTTTTTAGCTATATCACCAGGAATTTAGCCTTTTCAACTTGGAGTTGGAAGAGATTAGAAATGTTGGAAGAGTTCCCTCCCCAGCAAGACACAGTAACCTTGATTAAGAGAATAGGGAAGAGGGAGTCCTACTCATTTTCTTGGTCATACTAGCACATAGTGGAGTTTACCTCAAGTTGAACTGGGCAAAGTTAAAGTGTAACTTTCTGTGACAGGCCATTATGTAAGTTATTTTTGTGCATCCTTAAAATATTTTTTTCCTTTGCTACATTCATTTTTGTCCAGATTACCATTTACCCAATTTATCATGTAGAAGAGCTTGATTTCAACTACATTTTATTCCAAAATGCATCAGATGAAATCCCACACTTTCTGAACTAAAATCCAGACTTGATGCTTTATGCTATATTATATTTCCAATCTCTAACATCCCACTTGACATTAATGCAAACTCAACTGTTATGTTACTCATAAAAGTTTTTAAGATGAGCTCCAAAAATAAATACAGGGGAAACTTTAACTTCAAATTGGCAACAAAAAAAAAGGTAAGAGTAAATTAGGGTATGGAATAAGGTAGAGATGAAGTGAGATGAATGAATAAATTTATGCCATAAAATCATATTTACTTACTTGCCAGAGGTATGTTACAAATTTGTCTTAAAATAGTGCTCAAGTCCACTGTTTACCATGCTTATAAGTTTAGAAACAAGTGAGTTGCAGTAGAAGCAGTTATTCCTGATAAAGTTACAAGACATTTCTCCCAAAGCTGTCATAAAGATGATAGAATATAATGTAGTGAATAACCTTCTCAAGATAAGAATAATAAAGAATTTCATAGGGCAGTCACTTATGCTCAATATAAATATACAGTATTATGTCAAGCAATAATCAGTTTTGTGTGACACCAATAAAATGTTGGTATTCACTTCTCTAATAGTCTGAAGGCTGCAGAGACAAAATTTTTGTGGTTTTAGAAGTAGTCGGAACCACCTGCTAGAAAACAACTGGAAATGCATGAAGCTGCTTCTGTTTTTTCATAATGTATAAGGTTGTAAAGAAGGACATGCAGTGTCCAGAGTGGCTAAATATAATTCCTAGTTGTATGACAGTACTTCATGAGGAAGAGTGTAACTCTCAAGATGACTATAGCACAAGCTGTCCTACCTTGAGAAATACTGAATTTTATATTTAGAGCCATGGTCCATAGCAAAGATTAACAGGCTATCATTTATTTGAGTTTGTGTACTGTGTATGTGCGTTGCTATATATCATATGGATTAGCGTCTGCAAAGAAAGGAGAGTGGAGTTTCCTTCTCTAGCGGGTTCAAACAAAGGAGTTTCATCTTTATCTGTCATATATATTGAAGCTGTAACAAATACTTAATTTGATATAAGAAAAGGAAGATAATTTTATTCATCAGAATTTCAAGGTAAAACCAAACCCAGAAAAGGCAACTACACAGAGCTGTCATTCCTTGTCAAGAGTAGGGGTGAATGGGAGGTTATAGAAGTTTGGGATGAGTTGGAGTGGAAATGGAAGATAGGATGAGGGAAGGTAGAGGATGACAGAAATAGAAGCACTTGTGAAGTGAAATCTCCTTGTCGTTACACCCCCAAATCCTTAGAAACATAATTATATTCACAATAAGCTTGGATATTTATTAGTTAATTTTTATAACAAATCATTCCAAAATGTAGAGCCTTAGCACATTAATAACCATTTCTTATCCCCACAATTGCTCAGGATTGGGAATTTGTTCACAGCTTGGATGGATAGCATTGGTTCAGGCTTTTTCATGAAGCTGCAGTCTAATGGCAGCTACAAGTTCAGTCTGATATTGGAGAGGTGTTTCAGTAATCTAAGATTCAAGCAGGGTTTTGAAGGTCTACTTCCAAAGTGGTCCACTGACATGGCAGGCAAAGTTGATGCTGGATGGCGGTTACAGGCCTCAATTCTTCTGTTTCCTCAGTGCTGCTTGAGTGCTCTCATAGTACAGAAGGTGCTTCCCCCAGAGAGGATAATCCAAGTAACTAAAACAAAACCTTTTATATTCAGTCCTGCAAAGCCCATCTCATGAGTTTACTGTCACCATACTTTATTGCTGGCTGTGATTCAATGTGAGTAGAAATCACAAAAAGGTGTGAATATTAAGAGGCAAAGATTATTGGGAGCTATTCTGGAGGCCGGATATCATGGCTTTAATAGTTTCATTTGTTTGCTGATCTGTTTGTGGGAGCCAACAAATGCAGAAGCATTAGGTACTGAGTTAATTCTCTTTAGACATTCTTGAATTCTCTTTGTTAATATTTTGTTTGTTATTTTGGGATCTATATTCATGAAATATTGAACTGTAGTTTTCTTATATTATCTTTGTCTAATTTTGGTGTTAGGGTAATTCTGGCTTCATAAAATGAGTTAGGAAATATTCGCTCTGCTTCTATCTTCTGAATGAGATTGTAGAGAATTGATTTAATTTCTTACTTAAATGTTTGGTAGAATTCTCCAGTGATGTCATCTTGGCCTAATGCTTTCCATTTTAGAAGATTATTAGTTATTTATTTCTAGATACAGGCCTATTCCGATTGCTGAATTCTTCATTGCGAGATCTGGAAGGTCTTTTTTAATTGAAGAAGTTACTTTGAAGGGTTAGACTAGTTGACATATAACTTGGAATTTATCCATTCAATTAAAAACGTAGCTCAAATACAAAAGGTAGGTGAGGTTACATGTTTTCCTATTTGTGGAAATGTCCAATATATATTTCTATCCAGTACAATGTAGTTCAAATTTAAATCATGCCTACTTCATGATGCCTCCTTCTTGACTAGTACATTGATCACAAGTTGTCTATATTTTGGAGCCTACTAAGGGTATTACATAGGAATCTCACTAGGACACATTGGGTACCAAGTGATTTTTAAACTCAAAGTCTGTATAAAGTTTTAGTTACAAGTACATACTATTTCTGTTGACACAGTAATCTGCTCATATATCATGATCTTCACCTAGGTGTCTATTACTCACTTTGCATCTGATTTTGTGTGAAGAGACCATGTCCTTGGCCACGAACACTATTACTTTTGAAGCTCCCTTTGCAACTAGAAGTTCTAATTAAAATATAGTAGGGAATTTTGGTAAAGTTTGCTTTCTTGATAGAGGTATGGTACCTTTTTCTTTCTCCCTTTCCTATTTCTTACACTGCTTTGGATGATAGGCCTAAGATAGAGGAGTTATCTTGCTATCTGGAGATAACCAGGAAAGTGTAAAGCATCTACAAACATGATGGGACACAAAAACAGGAGACTGGGACACTGATGCCATGAGGAAGCTATCTACCACCAGACTCTAAGATTCCTATTTACTGACTTCTTATTTTAAAATAAATCCCTGCTTAATTAAGCCATTGGAGTTGATCTCTGTTACATTTAATGAAATACAATCCCAGGATATCTCTTGTCTTCCTGAGAACCTAGATCAAACCTATTTCTTCAGGAAGCCTTCTAGGATAAATAAAAAAAAACTAGAGTTGGGTAATGTTACCTGGGGTAAGACCAGAGAAGTTTCACCTCTCTCCAGAGGCTACAGTGGCCAGTGAGATAGCATGTGACCATGTATGGGACAAGTTGTAGCACCCCCCATTTCTGTAACCTGCTCTAAAATGGTAGATAGGAAAGGCCCTCTTTGTTCTCAGGGCTCAGCCTTTGGACTCAAATCCACTGAGTTGCCGCTGGCATGCTTAATAAACTTGCTTCCCTAAAGATTTGGAGCCCTCTCTGTCTCTGTTTGAGCCCTCCTGCAACATTTCTGAGGTGCTTGCTCAGGATTTGGAGGGTGGTGTTTTTACCTCCTTGTTGCCAGCTCAGTGTCCTCAGCCCACCAGGAGGGCCACCCCTGCCAGGTGCCACCAGACCATGTTAATCCGAGGAGGGAAAGCCTCTCTCCCAGCAAGCCAAGGAGGTGAGTTCTGGTTGCACAAAGGAATCCAGAAAGGTTTGGGAACCACCTTGACAGCCCCACTCATCAGACTGTTAAGAACCTGGGTTTAAACTCAGGCCTGCCTCAGGATGGAAAAGGAGAGTCTGATCAACTCCCAAAGACACCCAAGTAACCCCCCTTTGGGGTGAAACCATGTCTTTCAGGTTCAGGGAGCAGAACAGAAGTACTGTGCTGTGTGAGAGTGTGTGAAAGTGCGAACCTGAGATGTAGCCTGGTTACTGAGTGCAGAGTCCTTATCCGTGGGTCCTTCGCAAACTCATATGGTCTAGGGTGAATCCTAATGGGGCCTCTGGACCCGGGCTTATATGGACTCACTACAGCCAAGACACACCTAAATACCCATGAGGGAGCAGCTGCAGATGGACAAAGTGAGTGGCATTATTTGTTTTCCTCTGTGTGCTGGAGAGGAGAACCCCTACCCCCTCTCCACAGCACCATCCCTTCCATCTTTGTCTCTGTCTTGACGTCTGGCAAACAGGAGGCACGGGAGGAGGTCAGAACACCCCCCCTAGAGTGCATGCTTAAGAACTTTAAGAGGAGAATTAGTGGAGATTCCTAGGCCAAGCTGACTCCTGACAAGCTTAAGACCTTATGTTGGCTGGACCAACTCAGGACGATTGTATGGAAAGAACTCACCTCCTTCTCTCCCTTTTGTGGGAGGCAGGATATAATGTTTCCTGAAAGAAAGCTCAGGTTTGCCAGGAAAACACCTTGGGTTTCACCTGTCACAAGGATGATGCAGACTGGGCCCTGACAGGAAACAGGCTGTCCACTCCATTGGCAGTCTAATCTGTCAACCCCCAAAACCCATGGACAAATTAGAGAATATCTAGGAGCTGCAGATTTCTGCCAGATCTGGATCCCCAGTTACGCTCTCTTCACAAAACCCCTTTATGAAGCCACAAAGTGGAGAAAATAGAAACCCATGGTATGGGAAAAGGAGCAAGAAAAGGCCTTTAAAGAAATTAAGAGGGAATTCACTAATGACCCTGCTCTGGGCTTGCCACATGTGATGAAGCCCTTCTTCCTATATGTACATGAAAGACTGGGGACAGCTGTAGGAGTCTTGACCCAGCTGCTAGGTTCCTGGCAGTTTCCTGAGGCTGGTTGCACTGCCTGTGCACCCTGGTGGCCACTGCTATCTTGGTGGATGAAGCAGACAAACTTACTTTGGAAAAAGAACTCACAGTTTGAGTTTCCCACTGTGTTTTGACTCCCATGGAATTATAAAGGAATTATTGGTTAACAAACTCCTGAATGGTCAAATATCAAAGCATGTTATGTGAAAACCCATGTATCCGGCTAGAAGTTGTTAAGACTCTAAACCCAGCCAGCCTATTACCAGTTGATTCAGGGCCTCCAGAGCATGACTGTTTACAGGGTATGGATGAGACATTCTCCAGCCAGCCAGACTTGACTGACCAGCCTATTAGTTATCCAGATGTTGAGTATTTCACAGACAGCAGTAGCTTTGTCCAGTACAGCACACATTTTGCCAATATGCAGTAGTGACTCTGGATGCTGTTACTGAAGCACGGACCACTGCCAGTCGGGACCTCTGCACAAAAGACTGAGCTTATTGCTCTCATGCAGGCACTCCAACTCACTGCACGTGTGAGAGTAAATATCTATATGGAGTCTAAATATGCCTTCACTATCATTCATGTCATGGAGGCCTATATAAAGAAAGTGGGCTCATTAACTTGGGAGGAAAAAGTGTTAAATATGGACAAGAAATTCTGGAATTACTAGAAGCTGTATGGGCCCCTACGTGAGTAATGGTCATGCACTGCTGAGGGCGACCAGAAGGGGGAGATAACAGCTGTTTGGGGAAACCAAAAGGCTGATAGGGAAGCCAAGTGAGCAATCCTCACAGGACGACAAACCTCAGACTCACTGACAGCTGCCTTGTTCCCGTGCTGCTAATTTGAATAGGACCCATGGTATACTTCACAAGAACAGGCTTGGTTTGAGACTAAAGGAGGAAATTTTTTACCAGACAGATGGTGGAAGATTACCGATGCCACATTGCCACACCTGAGTCTCTGGCTCCCACATTTGTCAAGCAGTTCCATGAAGGAACTCACTTAGGGCAGACAGCTCTTGAGACCACCTTGGCCCAGCATTTTTATGTCCCCAAGCTCTCCAGAATAAGTAAGGCACTATGTGAGAGGTACAGTTTGTGTTCCAGAAACAATCCCTGACAAGGGCCAAGATGTATATATTTACTGGTGTTTGTCTGTACCTTCTCAGGATGGATGGAAGCCTTCCCCACTTGGACTGAGAAAGCCCAAGAAGTGGCCAAGTGTCTGTTAAAGAAAATCATCTCTTTATTCAGAATACCTGTGTCTACTGGGTCAGACAATGGGCAGGCCTTTGTGGCTGAGGTGGTACAGTTGATGGCTAAGGGATTTGAAATAACTTGGAAGCTACACATGGTCTACCACTCCCAGAGTTCCGGGAAAGTAGAATGTATGAACAGGACTCTAAAATTGCAATTGGGAAAACTATGCCAGGAGACCCACCTACAATGGGATCAATTACTGCCCATAGCCTTACTCAGGATTAGATCAAGCCCCACCAAATGGACAGGTCTCTCCTCTTTTGAAATTCTTTTTGGGCATTCACCCCCTTTAGTCAAGAGCCTGCAAGGGAACCTTAAGGAAATAAATGACCTCACCCTGAGATAGCAGATACAGGCCTTTGGGTTGACTCTCAAAAATCAATGACTGGTTAAATAAGAGACTCCCTGTTAGTCTGACAATTCCCACGCACACTTATAAACCAGGGGATGCTATTTGGGTAAAGGAATGGAATGTTCAACCACTAAAGCCCCACTGGAGAGACCCTTTTGTTGTTGTTTTGTTCACCCCCATCACAGTTGAAGTAACAGAGATCATTCCCTGCATACACCACAGCCAAATGAAGCCAGCTTCCCTCGAATGGGAGTAGATCCCTGATCCAGCTTTATTGTGCAAGATCACCTTTTTGAACACCTGTGCCCTTCCCCAACAGTACCCTGATTCCCGGGAGACAACAGGAGACCACTGATGACGAGATGTCAGCCTTGCTCTAGTCACTCTGGACACTGACTAGTCCACACATGGCAGAAGCTTGAGGAGTTGTCCATCTCACCTTTGAGGATGAGTCCATTCCGTATATTTGAATTTCTTGCTAATCTTGATCAGCTCTCTACCTGGGGACCCCCAGGCTTTGGACTGTGAGTCATGCATGTACACTACCTGAGTGGGGATTGCTGTTACCAAAACTCTGGTTTTCCATACTTATTATTCCTGTGCAGGCACCATTGTTGGGTCATGCACCCACAACCATACCACCTACTCAGTGTGCTTTTATCATGATCAGTATATATGATTCAACCCCATCCATTGCCCTTGGGAGCAATGGCTAGAGGTTCGAAGCTTCACCAGCACTAGGAAGCTCGTTAACCACATCCGGATTAATGACCCCAACAAACCTGTGTCCATATACTTTGATGTATGTGCCACAATAGCTGAAAACACTGGGACTTGGAGCAACCGTGGGGGGCTAGCCTGGGAAAGGACCTATAGGTTAAGTAACAAGTACATATGCCCAGATGACAGTGGGACATCCGGTTGTATATACTATGAACAATTCTACTGCTCTTATTGGGGTTGGGAAAGGTGAACAACTTGGCTAAAAAAGGGAGGTCCATACCTCACATGGAACAAAAAAAGGAAGCAACCCCAACTGCACACTTGGTGCCTGTAATCCTGTAAATTTCACTATTTTCTACCTCAATGAAACAGGCTAGGAAGTTGGGAAAAAGTTTGACATTTTAATCTATGGAAAGGGAACAGATCCTGGTACTTTGCTGCATTTTCAACTCATCATGATCACTCATGAGAGCTCCTCATACCAAGTCTTTCACTCCTTTTATGAGGAGATACAAAGTGAGTTTCCCATCTCAGTTAAAACCAAAAACACGTTCCTCTCACTAGCTGAGTCTGTAGCACAAGCTCTGAATGTAACTTTGTGTTATGTGTGTGGGGGAACCAATATGAGAGACTATTGGCTATGGAAGTCAAAAGAGCTAAACCCCCAAGAGCCCTTTAATGAAACCACTCTCCCTAGCCTCGGGGAGTGTGTTTGGCTCCTAAAAACCTCTATTATTGGAAACTATTGTATCTCCCATCCAAAAGGCCAATTCTCCACTGTGGTAGGTGACTTGATCTGTTTGGGACAAAAATTTTACAATGATGCTACTAAGGAAACTCAGTGATGGGAGTCCCAATCACACAGAGCCCCAGCCTCACCTGCTGGCTAACTTCCCTAAACTTGCAATAGCCTGTAATAATCTAACCGTGGCTATAGAGTGGTGGGCGCCTAAGGGGCTATATTGGATCTGTGGGAAACGAGCTTACACAATCCTTCCCAATGACTGGTTCAGATCCTGTGTGCTGGGCACCTTCAGGCCTTCTTTCTTCTTGATCACCCTCAGACAAAGTGAAAAATTAGAAGTCTCCATATGTGAGGAAAGGATTAAACAGGAAAAAGTGAGATGCCCTACAAATAGGAGACTGGAAGGATGATGAATGGCCTCCAGAGCAGATCATTCAGTATTATGGTCCCACTGTATGGGCCGAAGATAGTTCCTGGGGCTATTGCACCCCAATCTATATGCTTAACCACATCACTCAGCTTCAGGCAGTGGTTGAAATTATAACTAATGAAACAGCTAAAGACCTCAACATATTAGCCAAACAACAAACTAAAATACCCAATGCCATTTACCAAAACCATTTGGCTTTGGACTATTTGCTAGCCTCGGAGGGTGGAGTATGTGGAAAGTTCAAGCTGAGTAACTGCTGTTTACAGATTGATGTGAGGAAAAGGTAATTAAAGAGATTAATGACAGGATGAAAAAGTATGCCCATGTCCCTGTGCAGACCTGGAAGGGATGGAGTCCCAATGACCTGTTTGAGGGCTGGTTCTTAACCCTGGGTAGGTTCAAGACCTTAATAGGGGCAACTTTCCTTGTTTTAGGAGCATGCCTGATCTTATTCTGCCTAATCCCCTGGTTCTGTGGTTTTTCAGGACCATATGGAAGCCACTGTAGAAAGAAAGACAGCTGCTCATGCTATGGAAATATAAACCCCTAGGTCAAGATAATGCTTTTAGACCCAAAAGTGGGTCTGAGCATCTGAAGGGGAGAATGCAGGAACGCAGGGAGGGGAAGGGAGATAATGAGTGCTATAGGGAAACAAAGAAAAACCAAAGTTGGAGAATGTTACCTGGGATGAGACCAGAGAAGGGTCACCTTGCCCCATTGGTTAAAGTGGCCAATGAAATAGCATGTGACCATGTATGGGACTCCCCCCCTCCACACATTTCTGTAACCTGCTCTAAAATGGTACATAAGGAAGGCCCCCTTTGTCCTCAGGGCTCAGCCTTTAGACTTGAGTCCACTGAGTCCCTGCCAGCCTGCTTAATAAACTTGCTTCCCTAAAGCTTTGGTGCCCTCTCTATCTCTGTCTGACATGTCTGCAACATGAACACATAACTTGAAGACAAGAACTTAGAAAAACGTACTTATTAACCACTTCAACCCCCAAAGACCCCAAGCACTGATTTTTTCTTGTTTGTTTGTCTATTTGGTTTTGGCAGTAGTAGAGTTTGAACTTAGGGCATCACATTTTGTAGGAGGAAGGCACTCTACCACTTGAACCACACCTCTTCTTTGCTTTGGTTATTTTTCAGCCAGCGTCTCATGTTTTTTTCCCAGGGCTGGCCTCATACCCAGATCCTCCTACCTGTGGTAGCTGGGACCACAGGCACGTGGTGGTATACCTCCAACTCAGGCTTATTTTGTTAAGATGGTGTTTCCTTAGCTTTTTGCCTAGACCAGCTTCAAATCTTGATCCTTCCACTCTCTGCCTCTTGAGTAACTGGGATTACAGCCATGAGCCACTGCACCTGGCCAAACACTGCTCTTAACGTAGTATTTCTTAAATTAAATCTTAGTTAATATACTCACAAAACTCGCAACTAGTAAGTTCAGTTATTTTCAAATCTATGCACTATATAACTTCGTGAAAGAAACAGCAACCAAATCTTAAATGCTCCAGGTGAAAATATCTATCCCCATCTACTGGCCACTGCTTGATATTAAAATCATTTAACTGGCCCTTTGCAGAAAGGTATTTCTAAAACAAGAGTCGATGATTTTTATTTAGCCATTTATCAATAGTTATAGAGCATCTGTGACATACTAGATATTATGATGTTAAAATATGGTTTCAACAAAAAACCTGACATTTTATAATAAAAAGCTAATAATGCTAATAATAAATATAGTTAGCAAGTGGTTTATTAGTGTTAGAAATGCAATGTAAAGTAATAAGAACAAAACAATTTATTAATGTGAAATAGTTGTTTTGAAAAGATTTGTTTTCCCAGCAGCACAGCAACTAAGAGATAGCATAGATAAATGGGACCTCATAAAACTAAAAAGCTTCTGTTCATCAAAAGAAATGGTCTCTAAACTGAAGAGAACACCCACAGAGTGGGAGAAAATATTTGCCAACTATACATCAGACAAAGGACTGATAACCAGAATATATAGGGAACTTAAAAAACTAAATTCTCCCAAAACTAATGAACCAATAAAGAAATGGGCACGTAAACTAAACAGAACTTTCTCAAAAGAAGAAATTCAAATGGCCAGAAAACACATGAAAAAATGCTCACCATCTCTAGCAATAAAGGAAATGCAAATTAAAACCACGCTAAGATTCCACCTCACCCCTGTTAGAATAGCCATCATCAGCAACACCACCAACAACAGGTGTTGGCGAGGATGCGGGGAAAAAGGAACCCTCTTACACTGTTGGTGGGAATGTAGACTAGTACAACCACTCTGGAAAAAAATTTGGAGGCTACTTAAAAACCTGGACATCGATCTACCATTTGATCCAGCAATACCACTCTTGGGGATATACCCAAAAGACTGTTACTCCAGAGGCACCTGAACATCCATGTTTATTGCAGCACTATTCACAATAGCCAAGTTATGGAAACAGCCAAGATGCCCCAGCACTGACGAATGGATTAAGAAAATGTGGTATCCATACACAATGGAATTTTATGCAGCCATGAAGAAGAACAAAATGTTATCATTCGCTGGTAAATGGATGGAATTGGAGAACATCATTCTGAGTGAGGTTAGCCTGGCTCAAAAAACCAAAAATCGTATGTTCTCCCTCATATGTGGACATTAGATCAAGGGCAAACACAACAAGGGGATTGGACTATGAGCACATGATAAAAGCGAGAGCACACAAGGGAGAGGTGAGGATAGGTAAGACACCTAAAAAACTAGCTAGCATTTGTTGCCCTCAACGCAGAGAAACTAAAGCAGATACCTTAAAGCAACTGAGGCCAATAGGAAAAGGGGAACAGGTACTAGAGAAAAGGTTAGATCAAAAAGAATTAACCTAGAAGGTAACACCCACACACAGGAAATCAATGTGAGTCAATGCCCTGTATAGCTATCCTTATCTCAGCCAGCAAAAACCCTTGTTCCTTCCTATTATTGCTTATACTCTCTCTACAACAAAATTAGAAATAAGGGCAAAATAGTTTCTGCTGGGTATTGGGGGGGGAGAGGGAGAGGGCGGAGTGGGTGGTAAGGGAGGGGGTGGGGGCAGGGGGGAGAAATGAACCAAGCCTTGTATGCACATATGAATAATAAAAGAAAAATGAAAAAAAAAGTGTCTTCAAACATTTTTCTATTTCAACAAAAAAAAAAGAAAAGATTTGTTTTGTTTGATATTATAGTGAATCAATAAGAGACATGTTAAGGAAATGAATTTGGTTTTATGAAAATAAAAACTAAAGGATACAATGTTAGCTTAAAAAAGAAATTCACAAAGGTGCAAAATAGAATATAGCCTCCTGGGAAGAAGTTACTTTTAAAAACCATTTTGTTATGAAATACATTATGGAAAAATTGAATAGACCAAATTAAATAGGGTGGCATTCTGTAAGGCTTTCAGAGTTGTAATATGCTCATGTGCACTGTGAGTCCTCTGAGCAGCAGTGTGATGTGTAGTTTCCCCAAAACTTACTGACCAGAGGAAACTTTAGAACACTATCTCCTGGGATAATTC